TGGATAGACCCAGTAATTACAGAGATATGAACCATAAATTGTATAAAAACATTGGCATTTTGATGGAGCAGGAGTTTCTACGGACAAGAGATTCACTGCTTTTAAAAGAAATCTCCTAACCTCTGATCCACACATTTTCAAAACCTTCTCATTACTTTTTTTTTTTGGACCAGCTCCACAAACTTGTCATATTAATCTAACGTCTAAAAGTCCTTTCAGCTGACAACACTCTCGTCTTTGGGGTTGAGTAATGGCACCACTTTTTGAAGCGATTATTAAAAAATCGTTTAACTTTAGTTTATTTACAGAGAGACAGACAGAGAAGATGCTGAACTTCGTGCCAGTTTTTGTTTCATGTGGATATATTACAATAGTACATGATTTTCTGATCTCTGTTCTAATATTTCCTCATTTTTGTTGTGCTTTTGTGGAATATACAACCTTTAATTTAGTGTAAGGATTTGTAGAAAGCGAACGCAATTTATTTTACCACTGTATATTGAAATGTCCATATTTTACAGCTTTTAAACGGTGAAACATTCTCAAAATTTTGCCTGCAAACAGAAACGTGAAACCCAGATTGAGTCGAGCATACTGTTATGTTTGGCTACAAGAAATATTGACTCGAAATCGCTTTTTGAGTGGACGCAATTAGCAAATCTCTACGGCTGCAGTTTTTGAAGAAGCATAAATTTCCTCCGCAGACAACAAAACCTTCTGTCTTATTCTGCATAAAAAGTGCGAACGCTGTAGTTTGGATTCGTACAAACATGTTCTGAAATGTGATTCTTGTATTAGTCGGTTCAGATTTCAGTCTTTTTGTCAGTTGATGCTTTGTCGTCAACGTTCCCTGGAGGTGTGAAACTGAAAGCACTGCTCTGTCTGAAGCTCTTACTGATATTTTAATCTGAGTTTTGTTTTGGCACAATCAGACCAGAAAGAACTGACTCAGCAGGAACTAAAACAAATGAGCCGATTTGTGCCGTCTTTGGCAAATTGATTGGCAAATCCAGAGCTGAGATCATCCAAATGATTCTAGTGAAGTTTTTTTTTTTTCCTTTTTCTGTGATTGTGCTGCACAGTTGCTTCAATAATCCAGACTCCGTGATTCAAGACAGCTTCTCCAGTTTTATTTAACTGCATTTTAGAAAATCCACAACAATTCTGGCGTCACAGACAGGATTATTCAGACGTCGTTTATTCAGACGTTTTAGATCAATATAGAGATTTGATATGTCCAAATTCTAACATAATGATCCATGGATGTCATAGATTAACTACAACAGACACAAGAATCCGTGTGTCAGTCGTTCATTTGTTTTTCAATATAAAACCAAAAATAAGAAAATTAAAAAATAACAGTTTTCTTCATTATTTGTCTCCAAAACCAAAATGAAAAAAACAGATAATGATTTGATTTGTGTTTAAATGAAGAATGGAAAAAACGGATAACGACTGTTTCCAGTTTACGTGACTTCCGTGACTGTGATGCCGGACTTTTGCGCTGCATACGGACTGAACCAGGACTGATCCAGGTCCAGACCGGGACCGGAGTGTTACTGAGACCGAGACCAGACCGGGACCAGAGCGGGACTGAGACCGAGACCAGAGCAAAGACCAGAGCAGGGCCAGAGCGGACTTCAAGCTTTGATTCCGAGCCTCCGCGGGGTCCAAGCCTCAGCTTCGAGCTCCGGCCCTGCCGTGGGCTCTGAGCCTCCGGTCTGGTCCCGGTCTGGTCCCAGTCTGGTCCTGGTCTGGTCCCGGCCTGGTCTCAGTCTCAGTCCCGGTCTCAGTCCCGGTCTGGTCTCAGTCTGGTCCTAGTCTGGTCCCGGTCTGGTCTCGGTCTCAGTCTCGGTCTGGTCCCGGTCCCAGTCCTGGTCTCAGTCTCAGTCTGGTCCCGGTCTCAGTCCCTGGTCTGGTTCCAGTCTGGTCCCGAACCTGGATCAGTCCTGGTTCTGTCCGTATGCGGTGCAAAAGTTCGGCATCACAGTCACAGAAGTCACGTAAACGGGAAACGGCCGTTATCTGTTTTTTCCATTCTACATTTAAACAGAAAATCAAAAAACTGAAAAAACGAATCGTTATCTGTTTTTTCATTTTGGTTTTGGAGACAAATAATGAAGAAAACAGTTGTTTTTTCGTTTTCTTATTTTTGGTTTTATATTGAAAAACGAATGAACGAATGACACACGGATTCACAAGCGCAATACGTCTTCTTGAAGATCTAACTAAACATATTGACAGTTTGTGGAAGTTTATTCTGCTGTTTCTCACTCAGAGCATGACAGAAGCTGACCAGCAGGGGGAGTCTTTAGTTTTTTTGTTTTTTTTATCAGAACAGCAATAAACAGAACATCAGGGATCGCGATGTGATTCAGTCAAACTAACCGATCGTCAGGGATGAGATCATGATGGAGCAGCTCTGTTCCACTTTCCTCTGCTCTTCATCAGTTCTGCACATTCGCACACTCACACACTCCTCATCTGTGTGCGGTTTCTC